GTTATAAATTATTTTCAGATAAAAAATTTCTTGGGTAAATTAAAATTATATGTAATTTTATTCTCAAATCGTTTTTTTCCTCTTTTTTTTTTAGTTTTCATATTTAGAAAACTTCTCAATTCATTTCATTTTTTAGTTTTCATAAAATATCTTGAAACACTGTGTACAGTAAATTACCTGATAAGACAGACCTCAGAAAAATACTTTATGAGGCATAAAGCTGTCTATAATGAAAATTAATTAACTGAAGATTTTTTTTTTTGCCCTGCCAAGGTGTGGCCGAGTTATCCGGAGTGCCGGGTTATCGAGTGCCGAGTTTTCGAGGCTCTACTGTATTATATTGAACTATTTTCCTATTTTACTTTGTCTTATTATTAAAATATTATTTTAAGTTGTCGTGTTTTAATTTACTCAGATATTAGAACAAATTGTAAAAATTATTATTGCAGATTAATTTTATATGAAGCAATGAACTGAACTGAGAAGTTTTCTAAATACTAAAATTATTATTCCTGATCATTTGATCTGAAATTATTATATCTGAAATGATTATTGTCATTTCATTTTTGTANTATTTGTGTTTTTCAAATAAATTTTTGTTTGTCTCCTTTATAATAAATGAATTTATTTATTTCTAAGTAAAAATTGAAAGTGTCTGTAGAAGTAATTTTTTAAAATATCCTTTTTCGTAATAAAGTTTTAATACTTATTACTATATTCTAGACATGTTAATCCTTAATTAGACTTGTATATTTAAGGATTGTGCCAAAATATTATTGGGCCACAAGTATATTACATATACTTGTGGCCCAAAACTCCATGACTTCATCCAGTGTGGCCCAGGGAAACCCCTGGTCTAGATAGATAGCATAAAAATACTGGCAGAAAAAAAGTTTGTAATTCACTCATGGAAAATCATATAATTTGCTTGGTCACTGAGTGGAGGGCATGCTTGTGTTCGGTTTCAAAGCCTATTTTGATCGGCTTTAATTACAAAAGTTTGTTAATAAAATTAGTGTTGTTTCAAACGTAAACATTTGAAATTAGGGGGTACTTGGGCGTGGCCTGTTCGCGCTCGGGATGGCATCACTTCAATTGATGTCGTTGTATAGCGTAAGCTCTCTCCATAGAGACTGAAAAGACTATCCTCCATTACACATATAAAATTAGCTTAACACGTTCTTAATAGTTTAATTTAGCTGTGAGTTGATTTTTTAAATGGATAAAAAGAGAAGCATAAGTAGAGCCCAGAAAAGAAAAATAAAGAAAGAAAAAAACGAATTATTACAAAAGATTCTTAAGATTGACAGTTTCGTTAATTTTTTAACAAGAAAACAAGATGAAACAAAGAAAGTAATCATCTTCGGAATTAATTGACAAGCATAAATCTAATACAGAAGTACAACAAAATAAACGTCCAGAAAATGATAAAAGCGAGGTTTGAGGCCGAAGTTTTCAACGCGAAAACGTGTAAGTCGGACGTTTAGTGCCACCTTCCCGTAAGCCTAAAAGTTTGACAATGGCGCATGGAAAGACAATGCAATCATGCTCGACATTCCAAATACCATTGTCAAACTTCTAGGTTTACAGGAAAGTGGTGCTGAACGTCCGACGTACACGCTTTCGCGTTGAAAACTTCGGCCTCACCCTCGCTAAAGACAATGCGACTGTGCTATTCTAGAATTATGGAAAACCATTGAAACAATTAAAGTCACGAAAGAAATAACTCGATACAAGACGTCTTTCTGGAATATTGTACTTAGAACGTACAGTAGACCCCCCCTATAACGCTTAGATACGTTTCACGTTATTCAAATTTTACGTTGTAGAAATCATTAAATACATGAGCCAATCGCAGCCCGACACGTGTGAAGTTTACGGACTACGGCTGTTTGAAAGGTTTTATTCAATAAAATTAACCGATTCTAGAGTAATTCGACTCAACATTTCCAAAACACGTATAATTTTTTGGGAATAATTCGTATAAACTATGCTATAAACAAAAAATTGTAGGATTACTTACGGAGTGTGCACCGTTCGACTACGCCGTTGCTTACGCTTGTTTTCGTCGCGGAGCAGCGCACCAAACGGCGGCCGCGTTTTCTGATAAATTTTTTTTCTGCGAAAAATTCGTTGACCTTTGGAGACATCATTTTTAATATAAATAATTTTTATGGCTATTGAATAAGAAATGTTTCTTTCACAAGAAATGTATAAAATTAGTGCTGTATTAGACTTACGGTACCTAATTTACACACTGTACAGACGATAGTAAACTCAACTTACTCGCCTAAACTGTAGCGTGGCGCTAGACAGCGGAAAGTATATATATAATTATAATAAAGTTACAATAAATTAAGTTAATATATAATTATATATACAGTACCTAATTTATATATAATTAATATATAATTATATGTACAGTATCTAATTTATATATAATACTGTACAGACGATAGCAAACTCAATTTTCAAACCTAAACTTTCCGTAGCGAGGCGCTGGACGGCGGAAAGTAGTTCGGCTGCTCATCCACTATTGGTCCAGATTCGACCAATCTTGTCGCGACACGAGTCGGCGACGACGTTTTACGAGTCCCTTTATACGAATACTGCCGCAATTTTTTCGCTACGTTATAGGAATTTCCGTTATAGGAACGCACGTTATAGGGGGGTCGACTGTATAACTTTAATGCTTTCAAAAAATTCATTAGCTTTTCGTGTCCACCGGGAAGAATTTTCGCATAACTACAATGGAAATTTTTTATCTCAGATTGAATTACTTGTAAATTATGATCCAGTAATCAAATAAATAATAGATATTCCGTCTGATTCAATAAGGTATTTAAGTCCACAATACAAAATGAAATAATACACTGGTTGGCACAAAAATTATTGGAAGAATTAGTACATACAATTAATACGGCATTATTTTACTTCGTAATGTTAGACACGACTCAAGACATTTCCAAAACAGACTAATTAAGTATCATGATGAGACATGTTCACATTATTCGTGATAATTTAAAACCAATAAATTTTGAAATAAAAGAAACATTTTGGGGATTTTTTAAGATAAACGACTTTTCAGCAGAAGAAATGAAAAATGAAGTACTGAACGTATTAAGAGAAATGAATATTTCTTTAGAAAAATTCTACTAACAGATATGATTGTGTAATGAGTGGTGCATATAAAGGTTTTCAGAAAATAAAGATATGCAACCCAAAGTTGAATATGTGTATTGTAAGTCATAATTTAAAGTTGATAGTCAATGATAGTGTTAATACAAAAAAGTTCTTCTCTAGCGGTCAACCGCATGGAAACCATTAAAAATTGCTAGTTGGTCGTGGGTTCGCACCTCACTAAAGGGCTAGAGATGTGATGTTTTTTGAATTTTCTTCACGATTTTAACATCTAAATAGAGACCATTTTCAATAGAAAGTCTCCCCGCAGTCATTTTTCCTCGACAGATCGCCTACTGATCTCGTTGCGATTCGGAAACAATAAATAAACAAAGTTTGCTAACATTTACACGCAGTTAACCAGATTTATTAGAATGAATTAATTACCGTAATCTTGAATACTGTCGTAAAAAATGAAGAAATTTTTTAGTAGATCTGTTAAATTTTCAGATTTCCTTGTCTCGTTTATGATTCCTGCAATAAATAATCTTTGATGTAATTTCATATTTATTTATTAATAGAAACAGCATTTACTTACCGATTAGTTCATCACAGAAATCTTGAAAATTATCCTCTAAGTATGATGTATGTGTTAAATTCGTTTTGAAAGAGGCGAATTTTCCGCATGAAAATTCGTAAAAGTTTTCACAAGGATCCACAGTTTCGTTTTTTATATTTCGAGAGTCTAAAAGCGGAATGAAAGAAATAATAATAATAATAAACATTCTGTAATCTCAAAGAAATAATATGAGAGATTGAAATTAGTTTTTATCTTCATAACAGTATAAAGGAAATCAGCGGCATGCCGTCATTAGAAGCGTTGGAAGTGCCGCTTCCCTTGTATTTTATAAAAAATAAATACATATTAATTTTAATTATATGAAAATAATCGCACAGTATTTTATTATAACCGCACTATGTATCTTATTACAAATTTCTATACTACATGCGAAAAAAAAGATTGCTATTGTATATTCGAATTTTAGTGGCGGAGTGGAATCTCTGTATTGTCAGATTCCAAAAAGCCAGATTCGCGCATGCGCTTTACAGAGCACCGACCTCACCCGGTTTAGCTGGTGGAAGCCTACGACCTTGGGTAGAAGTTTCACACATATAACGATTCCAATTCTATCAAGGACCGGTTCTGGGCTGTTAGCCGCCTGACCACTAGATATTTCGATTACGTGAATAACGAGTAGATTTATAACTTACCAGTAAATTCTTACCGGTTGAATTATGTTTTTACGATAGTTCTGTATAGTTGACAGGAGTTAAAAAAATCCATTAAAATATTTGATATATTTATTCCGCTCTACGATTTTATATTACTCACGGATTTCGATGTTAAACCAGTGATATTACGATTTTGTACATCCCATGTTTAAGGGGATGTAGAAAAATCGTGTACAATTATTGTATAATGTTAAAAAATTAACCGTTACTTTGACAGCGTCATTTACAACTAAATTTAATGAACGAGAGAGATGCACGAGGTACAGAAAAGGCTCTAGAATTTATTTTCCTTAAATTTACGATTTATGTATCCGTTTGTCATAAAAATTTGTCTTTCCACTTTTT